TATATATATATATCTATATATATATATATATATATGCATCATGTCACACTAAGCCTTTCTTTAAGTCGTTTGTTCCCCGTACATCTCAAAACTGGGAAAAGATCTCCTCCAAGTGTCGCATGCAGTCATCAACGACTGCAAGTTTTTTCGCGAAACATTAGCAAACACTGCATAACCAGGAGAATCATTAATTGCTTGTACTTACTCACTGAATCTGTTGGTCTGTTCTATTTTGTTGCTTTCCTTTCATTCTTGAATGAACTACTGTTTTTGTATAATCTGGAGCAATATTCTGTTACCTAAACTTACTGCACTTTCATTTGTATACGTCGTGTATTGTAACCACTCCCTTCTTCTATGCTATTTGGCCCTGACGGTATTGTAAATAAATAAATATTTAAATAAATATATAAATAAATAAATAAATAAATAAGAAAAACTGTACAGTGACGTTGCTACAACCGACGAAGGGCGGCCACCATCTGGGTTGAATGAACTTCCGGGTAGAAAAGGGGGCGGTCTCTGTCACTGGCGGCGGCCTTCCTTTAGTGAAACGGGACAAAGGGATAAATTGCCGGGGAGGGGCTCACATCGATCGCAGGCACCGGTGAGCAGTGCTGGCACTGCTCACTTGAGAGACACCGGCATAGATGGCGCTCGTTCTTCCCCATTGCGCCCTCTGGGGATAGCCTGGGGAAATAAGAAATCAGCTAGGGATAACAGGGGGGCTGAAACTTCCTTGTCAACTCTCAGAGAAAACCGACCACAGTACGCCTGAGAACGAATCACGAGTTTGACTGGAGGAGTTCCTTCAAGAACGAAAAGTTACTTTTCACCACGGGCAGTCTCTCTAGGCGAACTGTCAAGCATGTCGTTCTGCATTGGGCAGCTGAGAGAGCCGGCCGGCTGGCAGCCCATCACTCAAGCATGTGCAAATGTGCCGATCAATATTCGCGAGTGCATGTTTGGCTCGAATGGGCCACTGCGATTCTGCATAATGTATTCTGGGCCATGCGGTTACGTCTCGAGAGTAAATGGATCGGTGACATTTTTGATTTACTGCATGCGATAGAGCAAGAAACACGCATTGCTCAATTGCAGCAGAACAAGACTATTTCATCGTGGTTTCCCGTTGGTGAAGACACGCTCCCTGTTGGCCATTTTTCTCTCCCAGAAAAGGGTTCCTCTCTGCTCATAGCAACATCGAAAAGAAAACAGTATACTTCTTACTCCGAGTTTTGGAATTCTTGTTTGAATGACGCGCTGAAAAGCCGCATAGGATCTCTTTCGACACCTTCAGCAGCGATGTAGAGAGAGAGAAAGGAACATATGAGGAACGTAAGGAGGTTAACTAGGCTACGTCTAGTTTGCTACCCTACATATGGGGAGAGGTAAATATGGGAGTAAAAGAGAGAGGGGGACATGGACATTGCACACCACACACACGCCACACACAGGGCAGGGTTTCACAGGTGGTCCCTCAGTTATGTCGCCCTCAAGAATTTTAAAAGGGCTCGTGTGGCTTTTTGGGCTGTTCTGCTTAAAGATCACGCACGCAGGATCTTCCACGAGTAAAAGGACGATCATCCAGTCTCCTCAAGGCACACTGGAGAGTCCGGCGTTCTTGTTTAATGTTGGAACAATGGCATAGGACATGGTCGATAATTTCTACGCAAACGCAGTCATCGCAGTTTGGGGGAGGAGAGTCATTCATGCCAATGCGATAAGTGAATGAGTTGGTAAAGGCTACGCCGACCCACAATTGACACAGAATTGTAGCTACGTGACAGCGATGTAGGTTAAACTAGTGCTATGCAAAGGGAAACTAAACAAACGCACGCAAAATGGAGCTGCCTTGAACACGAAAGTAATGCGCGTAGCCATGGCTAACGGAAAAGGCACAACTTGCTCACTGCACAAGCGCAAGCGTGAAGTAAATGATGGAAAAAACCAATAAGGCTCGATGTGCAAGACCTATTTTCATCAAAGAGCGATTCCATGGAGACAAGAACGAAAAAAAAAATTACAGCATATCACTGTACTGCATGATGAGGAGTGGGGCTAAGCGTCCGTCCGTTCGTTCGTACAACCGTATGTGCGACCATCCGTGCATCCATCCATCCATGCATCCGTCCGTCTGTGCGTTCGTCCATGCATCCATCTAGTGAACAGTCAAAGTGCCACCATCTCGCATCTTTTCCTTATATATTCAGCATATGGAAGCACCACCATCCAGCGGACATTACAAGGACTAAACGAAAAGTGGCACTCGCACACGGCCTTCGCTTCGTGTCTACTTCCCACCTTTCACCGCCTCTATTTCATGGCCATATAGTTCACTATATTCATGGCACTGCGGCCTTCTGATACTGGCTTTTTTAAGTAAGCCTCAAATTCAGGGCAAATTTTATCGAAGATTAAGTAACCAATACTCGTCTCCGTAAGTTATTACATCAGAAACAATTATCTTTTTAATCATGATTAACTTGCGCGGGTTCCCTCCTCAATTGGAAAGGGTGTGCGCGTGCCACTCCTCTAGTCCGGTCATGGAGGTGGCTACCTATACTACTACTACGACGACTACTACATACGTCGCGGACGCACGACCCGCGGCATAGGGAGCTTCGCCCTCAAAAATTGGCGCCCGCCTCTTCCCACGGGGAGAACCCGAGTAAATGCGTCGCAGAGCGGTGGGGGTGTCGAGTGAATGTTGCGTCATTGGTTATGCTTCGGGAATGCCTAATTGTTATTTCGTCTTTAATATTCTTATTTATTGAATGAAAGAGAAGCGAAGAAAAGGAGTGCAAAGTTGTGTGTCTCTATTGCTTGGTGCCGTCTTTGTATTGGAGGGAGAGGAGACGCCCTTGACCGGATTCCGAACGCGCGCTGCGCCGCTTGTATACACACCGCCCGCGCTCGAGGGAGACAAGACGAGGCACGAGACGAGCCGAGCATGCGCAGTAGGGGTGGGGACGGCGCCGGCGCCGAAGCGCGACATCGTGCGAAGAAATGATGTCCTGGTCATTGATACATTGATAGTTGAAGAGTATTTTATATATATATATATATATATATTCAAGTAGATCCTCCGTGAGCGGTCACAACGTGGTTTAATTCGATGTTTCGGTAAAGTCTGGCCTTCATCAAGGTATATATATATATATATATATATATATATATATATATATATATATATATATATATATATATATATATATATATATATATATATATCAACTCGTCTAAAAAAAGCTATCAGCTGTCGTAGGACTCCCTTCCTGATTACCGCAGGTCCTTTAAAATGCACGATGTCTTCAAAGATTGCGCGTTCGAGGCCTTCCTTTTTCAAGCCGAGGAAAAAAAGAAAAAAAAAACTTATTTCCCGCTTCAAACAATGGGCACAACAGTGAATGTAAACATTCGACAGAAGGTTTACATTCAACCACTCTCTCGGAACCCTTACGCCAGTGTATTCACAAGGACTGCGCTCCACGGAAAAACGAGAGAGAGAGAGAGAGAGAGAGAGAGAGAGAGAGAGAGAGAGAGAGAGAGAGAGAGAGATGTCATTAGCCACCCCGCGAGTGCTTTGAAAACGCCGCTGCTCATAGCCTCCGCAGTCACCACCAAGGAAGGAACCAAGTCGGTTCCGAAGCGTCGGGTTTCTTCAAAACATTTGGTTGGAGTCTAAATCATCTCCCAGTGGGCATAACAGCATAACACTTTCTGCATGACTGATATTAACTAATGAAGCGTAACTCTGGGAAGCTTATCGCCCAGCCTCAGCCTGGGCGTAAGTCAAACATTCGTTTATTTGCCGAAAACTACGTGATATTTCATAAAGTTGCCAGCGCCGATGATCACACTCACCTTCAATCTGATTCAACTATCATAGGTAACTAGACAATGGTTAATGGAACTTGACGTCACTAAATGTAAAGTCATGCGCGTGTCCAGTTCTGCTTACATCATGCACACGTACTACCTTAACAAAGTTCCCCTTGAATGTGTTGACTCATATCGATATCTAGACGCATATAACTTCTAACCTATGTTGGAACACCCACCCCGACCAAGTGACTAAAAATGCTAATCGCACCCTTGGCTATCTACGCGGTAACTTTTCTAATGCCCTCCCATTCTTAAAAATGCTTCTTTATATAACCCTTGTACGCCAAACACTAGAATATGCATGTGCTGTTTGGGATTCTACTACTGACAAACTAATTACCTCTTTAGAACGTGTTCAAAATAACTGAGCTCGCTTCATCTGGTCTAACTACAGCTGTGCTGCAAGTGTGTCTGCCATGAAATCCTATCTTTCACTAACATAGCTATCTAATCATCTCAAAATCGCACGTATTGCTCTTTTCCATAAAATATATTATCATTCATCTCTCAAAAAAGAACCAATTTTTCGACCACAATACATATAATCTAAAATAGACCATCGTCACAAGGTTGGGCTTGAAACATGCCACACAAAAACATTCTTTCCATCATTCATTCCTCGAACATCCATTGATTGGAACCACCTGGCCGGTGACATCGTATCAATTCATGATAATCATCTGTTTATAGGACCTCTAAGTTGTATTGTAGAGCCAGTTTATCCTTCCTGTGTTTTTCTCTATTTTTTTTTCGCTCTACATGTATGCATTCCGTTATTCATGACTAAATTTTTATTACGTACATGCCTGTATCCTTAGCACATTTCTTAAATCATTATTTATTATTAGCCTGTCAACACTGCTTTGTCCTTCACCACTAGCTAAAACTGTATAATTAGAAGCCTGTGTACTGAAACCATTTTATCTGCTTTTTGTTGTACACTCGTTTATTGTAACCACTACCCTATTCAATGTCTCTGGTCCTGGTGGCTTTATTAAATAAATAAAATTATAAAAAAGCCTTTCTCCTCTTGTTTCTCCTTTTCTCACGCGGCAGGAGTACAGACGAGGGCCGGCTTTGTTGACTTCATCCGTACAGCGCCACCGTCACACCTGTACTAGGCCAGGCCAGCGCCTCCTGGTCAGGCTAACCATCCCGTCAGCAAGGCTTCCGCACCAACCAGCATACCCATTGAAGCCTGCCCCGTGGCTGAGTGCCAGCGGTGTTTGAGGAAGAGACGACGCGGCTGCAAGTGTGGAAGGTAGACTAGAACCCATCTAGTCGACAGGCTCCAGGGATAAATTGGAACGGTGAGTGGCGCCATGATCTGACTTGCACAGCGCTCATAACACCACACGTTGGCCATTTCAGAGCGGCGCGAAAGTCGTAAGCTGGCCACATTTCACGCGTTGTCGGAAAACTGACCGGCTGCCCTCTCCTGAGCCTCAGCTTGTGTATTTTGCCTGATCTACTTTGCTTTGAGAGAGGGTTTTCCACTGCTCTCCATGGGCGGCGAAGGCGGTCTTCGGGCATACACACATTGACCTATAAGAAATGATGTCACGTAACCAGTGACAATGGAGTAGGTGCCACGGAAGGGCGGATTTGGGTCCTACGAAAAGCGTCCGCAAAGGTTATGAGTCGGGAGTCGACGAAAAGATGGAGAAGATGTATACTAACCATTAAAGGTGAATATGCTGATGATGGCAGCGCAATTTCTTGATTCTCTCGGGCAATCGTCTATGGGCAGTCTAGCCTTGTTATTCCCCGACTGAGTAGATGTAGAGCGCGAAGAAGCACTCCGCGACAACCGATCGTACTCAAAGTATGAATTCGGCAACTACTCCGCATTCCTCCGATCCCCAGCCCGAAAAAACAAACTCGTATAGGCTGTCGACCAGACTGGCCCGTGGGATAAGCTTTCCTTTGCCTTCTGAGTCCTGACCACCTTGGCGAAGTACGCGGCATTTCGAAACAGTACACAGTTGATTTGGGGGGCATCTCGTCTTTTCTCTGCTCGCGTCTTTGTCCCAGATAACACCTTACGTACTAATTATTGCACGTCGCGACCTTTTCTTAACACGGGGTGTAACTGGAGCCGAAGTTTAAACTAGCGGACTAGTCTTTAAAGGGACACTAAAGTCAATTATTAAGTCGACGTTGGTTGTTGAACTGGTGGTCCAGAAACCTCGTATAGTGTTACTTTTTTATTTATTTAGAAATACTGTCAACCCTCTATTGAAGGTCATTACAGGAAAGGTACGACACACTGTACAAACAAATTGGAGATGTGACTATACATCTCACAAAGATAAATATATAGGTATACATACATACAAATCCATGAAATCTCTGCATTCCAAACTAAAAACAAAAAAACGCACACCCTGATTCATAATGCAACAGATAACAATCGCAATAATCTTTACAATGAATCACATAAATGTTAATCACAAATTCATTACCATCACCCGCATTGACTATGTTACTCAGTAACCCCTTCCAATCTTCGATGATGACATCAGGGAAGAAAGCATGACGGTACGCCTTCGTTCGCGCAAAGTAAGGTTGCAGTACTCGTGTATGGTTTGCCCTCTCACTTCGTTTCCCAGGTTGTTCTATGCAGTCATTTCTGTTAATTTTATACTCACCTTCCAATCATTGGAAAAGAAACTCTATTCTATTTTTACGTCTGCGCTTGTGGAGCGTCTCCAGGTCACAGAGTTGTAGCATTTCTGTGACTGAGTCGTTCTGCCTATGTCTCGAGCATATAAAGTGAGCTGCAAGTCGTTGTATGCGTTCAAGTTTATTTACTAGCACTTTTTGATGCGGACCCCAGACAATACTAACATATTCCAGTATCGGCCGTATAAATATTATTTTATTAAAAGCAAAACGTTTTACGTCCACACTTGCACCCTGCAGTTTTTTTTCTTATTAAGTACAACTTTTGTGAAGACCTAGAGCAAACATTATCAGTATGTGTGTGCCACTTTAGGTTATGCGTTATTGTGAGTCCTAGGCACTCAAACGCATTAACTGTCAACAAGATGAGATTCCCGATACAGTATTCAAATGGAATTATCTTTTGTTCCTAAAAATGGGGGTGACGGTAGATTTCAAATATTTGATTTCCATTTCTGAAGCTTCACTCGATGAGTGTAATTCCTTTAGACATTCGGCAATCTTCGATTGGTCCATCCTACCCGTCACTCGCGCGTAAATGAAACAATTATCAGCAAAAAGTTTGAGCTTTACATGGGGTTTTGCTATATCTGCGATATCATTTCCATGTATTAGAAACAATAAGGGCCCAAGAACCGAGCCTTGTGGAACCCCAGAAAACACTTCTAGTGAGTTAGACATAGAGTTCTCAATTTTCACGGATTGCTTCCTGTCATTTAGGTAGGCTTTAATTCAATTAGGTAAAAGTTGACTGTGTCCAGCATAGTGAAGCTTATGGAGTAATCTGTCGCGAGGTACCTTATCGAAGGTCTAAGCGAAATCTATGCAGATGACATCAATTTGTTCATTCATATCTAAATCTGTCACAAAGTCATGAATAGTTTGAATAAGCTCCGTTGTAGTCAAGACTTCACTCCTAAAACCATGCTGATATGGAATAAAGTAATTTAAATTTTCCAGGATTGTGATGATACGCTTGACAATGACATGTTCAAATATTTTGCAGCAGATAGATTTGAGCGACACGGGACGGTAATTATTGGCGGACAACCGATCACCACTCTTAAACAACTACAGCTGTGCGCCAGTCAGATGGCACTGAACTAGCACAAATTGACTTTTGAAAAATAACTTCCATGTTGTGAGATATCCACTCCGCATAACGCTGCAAAAAAAAAAGGGGGGGGGGGGTAGTTCATCAGGCCCGCAAGCTTTTTTTTAGAATCAAGAGACAAGAGACTCTTCAATACTCCTTCTCGACTGATAGTATAATCTCACCCGTTGGCTCAGATAAGTGGCAGATTACATCCTCTGTCTCAGTGTCAGATCTGCGTCTTGTAAAAGCTGACCGAAAGAGAATGTTAAGACATCTGCAATATCAACATTCTGCGTCACGATTTCATTTCCACGTTTCAGCTGGTCAATTTTATCGCGCCTATCGGACATATAAAGCCAAAACTTGCGAGGTGAATGTTTGATGAAAGAACTCAACTGTTGACCAAAAAAAGCACGCTTAGATCCCAACAAGTCTTTCTTCAATTCTTTTCGTACACCCCGCCGCGGTGGTCTAGTGGCTAAGGTACTAGGCTGCTGACCCGCAGGTCGCGGGTTCGAATCCCGGCTGCGGCGGCTGCATTTCCGATGGAGGCGGAAATGTTGTAGGCCCGTGTGCTCAGATTTGGGTGCACGTTAAGGAACCCATGATGGTCGAAATTTCCGGAGCCCTCCACTACGGCGTCTCTCATAATCATATGGTGGTTTTGGGACGTTAAACCCCACATATCGATCAATCAATTGTTTTCGTACACATGGTATATCATCGGGGCCATGGTTTCTTTTCCTCCGCAGCCTCTTTAACTTTCGCTTCCTATGAATAATATATTGTGTTATCCACGGATTGCGCATTTTAGTCTGCATTACTCTACTATGAAAGAATTAGTCGATGCAATATTTAATAGTAACTTTAAAACATTGCAACAATTCTTCAACTGTTTCGCCATCGGATGCGTGCTCAAAATGACCAAATTAATACCCCAGCATGTCAAGAATTGAAGTGTCATCTGCGTACGTGTAATCTTTTACTTGCACGGCCTTATAGGTTCTAGCTCGTGAAACACTCGGTGGAATAGTAACAGAGGCCAATTTATGGTAAGAAATTCCCTCATCAACACAGATAATCTAATTGCACATTTTGTTAGAAAAGGAACACCACGTCCAACAGTGACCGAGACGAAGATGTTATCTGTGTATATTAGCGCACTATTTTGGTTAAGTTATGAGCACACAAAATTTCCAACATCGCCCCGCCGCGGTGGTCTCGTGGCTATGGTACTCGGCACCTGACCCACAGGTCACGGGATTGAATCCCGGCTGTGGCGGCTGCATTTTCGATGGAGGTGGAAATATTGTAGGCCCGTGTACTCAGATTTAGGTGCACGTTAAAGAACACCAAGCGGTCGAAATTTCCGCAGCCCTCCACTACGGCGTCTCTTATTATCATATAGTGGTTTTGGGACGTTAAACCCCACATATCAATAATATCAATCGATTTCCACATCTTTTCACCACTATCAATCTAGAGTGTCCAGGCAAAAAAACATCCCAGTTAATTCGGGGCAGATTAAATTCTCCAGTAAGAATTAGCCTGGTGTTCCCATTTACATGGGCACAAACGAAGTTATTAAATTTATAAAGATAGTGTCATGATGTTGCGGGTGGTCTATACACGACACCAAGAAGGTATACTGTTTTAAAAAATGCTTATTCTACAGCACATCCTTTCTGGTACAATGCTTTGAACATGTGCAACCACAACAGTTTTTTTACTATGATGGCAACCCCGCCCCCTCGCGAGTCCCTATCAGATCTAAAGATTTTGTAGCCTTCTGGCACAATGCAGTTATCAGGGACACAACTGTGTAGCCATGTTTCAGTTATGGCCACCGCATGAGAGATAAAGGGAAGTTTATTGTACACTTAACTTGTACGTACACAAATGAAACATCAAAAACAAGTAAAGACAGTGTATACATCTTACAAATGAGCACCAAAATCTAATTGATCACTGGGTATCCAAATGTTACAAGTGAAAGGAAAAATTAAAAAAAAGGAATCAAGTTAATCACATTTTACAGGATAACACTTATGCGTGCGTACTAGAGTGGGCGCATGGCTAGTACGGCACAACTGGAAACCTCAGCTGTCCCCCTCTTACTTTGAAGAAACGTGTGTGCCATCGTCGAAGGAAAGCCTCTTCGTCATGCGTTTCCAGTTGCTGATCTAGGTAATTCCACCCAATGAGCCGTATTTTATGTAGTGTGGGATAGGCGCCTCTATGCGGCTTGTGCCGTACTTCCGCTAAACAGCGTCGCCGCCACAGTACGTACAATGTTACTGTAAAGATCAGTCTTGCAAACAGCCCACGTTCTGTTCCCATGCGCGCCGTGCGAAAGCCATAGAGGCGTTGTACCATGTGCCAGACGCCCCTCGCCACCGAGCACTGAAACAGAGCATGTTGGGTCGTCTCTCTTTTGCCACAGTTTGGGCAGTGGTCATTTGGTACGACTCCCCATTGTGCTAACCGGTCGCGCGTAGGCAATGCCCTCCATCTTCTCAACCAATCGAA